TTTTTTTTCCTCCAGAGCTTCCATTACTTTGATATATGTTGCTGCCAAAAACAAAGTTTAGAAAGATTAAGTGACTTGCCCAAAGTCACACAGTCCCATATGGAACAGAGAAAGGATTTGAACCTTTGTGGTTCTCCACAGCTAGCTCTTTATTCACTCGTTTTATCCACAGAAGGCCTCCCGAGGTAACTGCCTCCACTACAACATGCTACATAATCATAGCTTACATTTACATAGCTTTTTCTGGTTTATAAAGCACTCTGTATATATCCTCTCATTCGATACGAACTTGGAAGTGCCAAGGAACTTTCAACATCAATACCATGGATCCAAAGCAAGTATGACCACTCACTCAGCTTCATTAAGGACCAGTAATTATTAGCATTTCAATTATGTGTGGGTGACAGCTCTCTATGGTCAGATCACGAGCAAAACCTGCCCGGCTTTTTCATCAAAAGACTGAACATTCGCCAAACTTCTCTGGCTAATGTTGACACAACCCGGGGTTTAGACAGCATACAACCCATACAAAATGAAAGACAAACATTTGCCAACCCAATTCCTAACATACGAATGCTTGCTTCCCCCATCCCCTACTACCCAACAAAAAGATATTAATGATTTTTAAAGATTTCCAAGCTTCATCTCAGAAAGTCATTATAAAATGTTTCCATTTCCATTCATCTCCTCAGTATTCTGAGGCTCCTAAAAGCATAGGCCAACTCCTATCAAATGCAATGAGTCACTGTGGAGAAAATAAGGGATAAGAAGCTGTGAAAGTTCATGGTTTCCCAGAAAAAACAACAACCGTGAGCATCTCTTAGAACTTGTCTTTCCAAAATTCAAACTAATGTACAAAAGTCACAAGAAGCTAGGAAACACTTGATACGGGTATTCCAAAAGCAGACAACAAAGGATTTCTAAAAATTGCAGCAAAAGCTCATGCTTTCCCCTAGATTCATAAGGGTGTTTTCCATATTTAGACAGTTTCTAGGTCTCTAGACAGATGGGGGCTTTCCTCCCCAATCTCCCCAACCTCTCCATCGCTGGTTAGTGAAATGTTTCAATGAATAGCTCAGCAGGTAAACCTTGGTGACAGACCAGCTTATGCACATACAAAGCCAAGATTAAGTTAGCCTCTTGAGGAGGCTCATTAAAAAAGCAATTTACCCAGTGCTTGAAACAGAAATTAAACCGAGAGGGGAAAAAGTAATACGGGAAGCCACAACAGTGAGATAGAGAACACATAGAGTTTTACAAAGCAGATGCCTGCTAGTACTTAAACTGAGTTTTACAAAGAAATATCATGCTTTATCATTTCAAGGCCACTCCTGTGACCCATGGCCCTGAGAAACACTAGAAACACTATCGAGCTGAAGCTCTTTCATACCTTGCTCAGCCAGGCAGGTAAGATGGCAGGAAGGAACTGAGATTGTTCAGTCTCATCTTTGGTTAATTAGAACTCATTTCCAACTGCTTGTCCTTGAATCGTGTTTCATCCAAATGCATGTTTGGTTATGGGGGGGGAGGGGTATAGGGGAATAAGGAGAGAAAATCTGCCATTCTTTGTGACCTGACCTGCAAAGAGGATGCCTCATCCAATCCCAGCTCCTCCCAACCCCCATCCCTTCAGCTTTTCTTCCACTTTTTGACTCATCTTTCTGAGTAGTTTGCAAAGGGGCTCGGCAAGCAAGGTCGAGCTACTCCTAGTGGAGGAAAGGAAAAATTAAAACAGGGGACTATTACACAGTCTACACAAAATAAAATTTAGTCTGAAGAGGCTGAGTTGCAGAAGTTCCCTCACAGAAAGAAGAAAGGAATTTTCCTGATGTGAAACTAAGATATCTCAGATTCACCAACAACATCACTTCAAAGGATTGTAAAGTCTCTGAAGATGGAGAAGAATGTATTTTGCACATACATTTCCCCTCCTCCCTACAACTCTGAGAAGTGGCAGCCAAAGCAATACCCATTTATAGATAAGCCAGGATTTAGAAAACCACAAGAAAAGGAAACAGCTGAAGCGCTTGTCCAATCAGCCGACTTTGTTTACTAAGTTAGCACATCTACCCTGTCCCTTTTCTGCTTTGTTCAATGATGATCAGTCACCGGAACACAAAATCCTGTGATCTTCCTACGGTTCTAAGATTTCCCCCATTGTTCAATCCAACGTGGAGCACCAGAACAATAAAAAGGGGTGTAACTACACCGGGAATTTATGTACCATGCCTAGCCTGTACAATGATAAGACCCCAATTCCTTGGAAAGCCTGAGGATTTTGGCTTACGGCTTTTTTGCAGGTGGACCCTGCTGAATACCTTTTCAAGTTTCAAAAGGCAGGGTGGGTAAAAGGAAGATACCTTAGTTAAGGTTGGGTTCTGCTTTTTAGAAAGGGCATATGACTGGTGGTAAAAACAGGAACGGCCCCTGGATTCATTCACACCAGTTTAAAAAAAACAAAAAACAAATCAAATCCAAAAACTACAGAGCTTATAATAACCCCGGCGGCCATTCAATACTGGATAGGATGAAATGAAATAAGCGGTCATCCCTGAGTTGTTGGCATTAAAAAAGACACTGTGAAAAAGTAACCTTTTGGAAAACAAAATAAAGGAAAGGATAATCTTAAAGAGTATCTGGCTCAGGTACCCTAATTTCATTGGTATCTGTTGAAATTAGTCTGGAGCAGCACAGGGGGACCCTTCAACCTCCTTACCCAGTCAATTGGTAATTCATCTATGATAAGCCCAACTCCTAAGAAGGAGGCAACTCCTCACCTACAGCCAGCAGGTACCCCAAAACCAACTTGTCACACAACTTGGTCAAAGCCAGTAACAACAAACAAAGGAGAAATCACAGCAGCCCCTGCATTTCTGAAAACTCAGTCCTTAGGCAAACAGCTCTGGGCTAGGTAAACAAAAGGCGGCCGGAGAAAAACTAACACTTGGACCTGTTCCCAAACTCGAAGGACCAAAGAAGAAGAAGGCAGGCAGTCGGGGGTCAGTCTAGAAAGCTAACCCAACATAAACATAGACAATGGAGAGAAAAAATCCCATTTTTTTTTAAGGACTAGGAAATTGGCACCACTCAGGCCCTGAGGGTCTAAAGTCTTCACAGTGAAAGTTACTTAATAGCTCAAGATTCCCTCACTCAAACTGACCCCCAGCACAAAACATCAGTCACTTCTAAAAAAAAATAAATAAATAAAAAAGAAGATGCTTATTAGAAACCAAAGTCCAGGTTTGAGAAGCAAGCAGCTAAACAAACTAGCTGGCACTGGAGCTAATAAGCATCTCTTCAAGACTTCCTGGCAGCTAGATTCCTGCCTTCTCTACACTGTGTTGTATATCCAGCTCATGCTGTCTACCTGATTCAGAGAGTACCAACTAACATGAAAGAAAGGTTGGGTCCATTTTAGCCATTCCTGATTTTTTTTTTTTAAAAGAAAACTCAGTGCCTAGACAAATCTACCCACCAACCTGTTTCTGTATGTAAGAGGAGGGGGGAAAGGTCTCATGACAGATAGTTTTGTTTGCTTGTTTTTTAGTAAGGTTTTGAACTTGAAGGTAATTCTGCCTAAAGGTCCTGAGGGTAACTAAGCTACAACTTAGTTATCCCCAACTCAGTGATACACACAGTAAATTGACACACAAGTCTTTGTTCTTTTTACTCAAAGAGGAGAGAACTCAGTCTTTGGGAATACCTTAACCTCCATCAGCCCCCTGGGATCGGGGCGCAGGAACCCTGCTGCTGAGACCTACTTGAAAGAGAAAGGGTGACAGAAGCCCAAGAAAAGCTTACTGGCTCCATGAGGCATAAAATCAGATTGTCAGCAAACATTAGAAAGGTCAGTGTGGAGAAAAGATCCAGTCTAGGACTCTGATACACTAAAGAGACATGGCCATATCCTTCATATTACAGGGTTCAGGTTAGTGAAGAGTGGTAATCGATTCCAATTTTTATGGGCTGGTAAATGAACGGTTTTAAGATGAAACAGGTAGAGAACACTCTCTCAACACAAACTTGCTCTCCCCTCCTAACACACACACACACACACACACACTCTGTGGTATCAATACAAGACTAAGTGAAGAGGACAACTTGCCAGTTCGGAGAACTTTGATTGAGTCAATGAATTGAAGAAGAGGAAGAGGAGGTGAAGGTGCAGGAGGAAGAGGAGAATTTCTAGGGATTCTAAAGCCTGTGCTGCCCTTCCTGGAGGCTGCAGTATCTAGAAAGGTAATGAGGGCTATACAATACTGAGCAGTGACCATGACCATCGAGGGCCACACGAATGCCCTAAAGGTGAACCGTGTTAAAGCTAGAGAGAGGACTCGGGGTAGGGCCAGAAAACCTAACCACCTACCTGATTATCTGCCCCCTGGGGCACTCTATACCAAAGTAAGAAGTCTCAACCCGAAGACCCAACACTGCCACTCTGTTAGTATTTATTACTGGGAGAGGTAAAAAGAAATCATAAGGAAGCCCCCAAATGAAAGAAGAGATTTGGGGAACCGGAGGACAGGGAATGAAGGGAAAACTGTCCGGTAAGCAACAAGAAGGAAAGGTGAAGCCAGTTTTGAGGTAAATGTGGGCAGTTCAAGCAAAGAAAAGAATTAAGGGAGGAATCCAATAGAGAAGAGGCAGAATAGGGATGGCGACGGGGGGAAGACACCCTGTGGGGAATAAGGGAAGGAATGGGCCATATACAGGGAAGAAGAGGAGCAAAAGGAATGGGGTGAGGGAGTTGGTGGGTGCCAAAAAAGAGGACAGGGTCAGAGAAAGGACACAGGTAGGAAAAGAGGGATATAAATAAAAGAACGTTAAAAAGATGGGAGAAGGGATGTCCATGAGAGAATGGGTATGCAGCCAGACAGCATGGAATGGGGGACACTAAAGCACTAGGGAAGGCGCTCCCCCTCCTTCCCGCCACCACCAGTTCAGTGTCCCCGCTGTACACCCCGAGGCACAGAACATGGAAGGGGTCTCCCCCCTCTTACCTTGGCGTCTTGAGTGCCGCGTTCTCCCGTTTGTCCAGCACTCCCGGCACGCAGTTGGTGAGCTCGGTCCAGTCGGCGTGCAGACCGCAGCTCCAGCCGGTGGAGAAGCGGGAGAAGAGCCAGGTCTCCCTGCGGTTGGGCCGGTAGCAGGTGCATTTCTTCTGGCCGGGCCGGCAGTCGCAGGGCACCTCAAGGCGCACGTTCTGCACCAGGTGGCGGCCGAAGGTGGTGCCGCCCGTCTTCTGGATGTGCAAGAACACGATCACGTCGTCGCCCTTCATGTCGAAGGTGAGCGCCCGCTCCAGCTCGCGCACGGGGAAGTAATACTTCTTCACGTAGTGCGGGTCGGGCGTGGGGAAGAGGTCCAGGTCATCGGCCAGGGCGCGGCTGCTGGGCGCCCCCAGACTCAGCCCCGGCCCCACATACTGGTACAAGATCAGCATGAAGCACACCGAGCCGGCCACGATCAGCAAGAACTTGCTGGTCCTCTCAACCATGGTCCTCCCGGCTCGCTTCATATGTCACCATCTCCCAGGGATTTTTTTTTTCCTTCGGGGAGTGGGGAACGAGGCGGGGAGGAGGGAGAAGAATAGGGAAGACCCCGCAACCTTTGCTTCGGGATCTTTTTCTCCCTTTGGACGTTTTTTTTTTTTTTTTTGAGGAAAAGGCAAAAACTGTATTGTTTTTCTTTTCTTTTTTTTAGGGGAGTGGGGTGTCAGCTTCCCCCTTTTCGTCCTGATGTCCACAGCTCAGTCGCTGAAACAACTCCAAGAGAGAGAAGCTCTTTGCGCGGGAGGGACACCGCAAAACTGGGGCGGGGAGGTGTCAATCAATCAATGCAGCCTGCGCCTGGTGCTTCCAAAGTCGCTGGAACTGCGTCCTCTTCCTCCTCCGCCTCCCGAATCAGCAGCAGCGGCGGCGGCGGCGGCAGCAGCGACCCGGGCAAGCGGGGAAAGTGACGGGGGGAGGGGAGCGCCAAGGAAGGGGGTCGAGTGAAGTGCTCCAAACGAAAACAACCCCCTCCCAGCCCCGGACGCCGCGCACCCGCGCCCCCCCACACCCCAGCAGCTGTCGCCGCCGCCACCACCCCGCCGCGGCTCCTCCTGACGCCGCCGCGGCTGCCGCCGAGCTCCCCGGCTCGGGCTCGCGGCCGCCGGCCCGGGTGTCCTCTGCGGGGGGCTCGCCCAGCCGAGGCTCCAGCTCCGGCTACGCGGAGTCCTGGCTTCCTACAGCCGCCACACGGTGACCGGAGCCCGGCATGCACAGCGCCATCGCCTCCCGCCGCCGCTCCAGCTGCCGCAGCGGCAGCCCAAGCCGCCGCCGCCGCCGCCGCCGCCAGCCGGGCTCCGAGCTCAGCACTGCAAGCGGCGGCGGCCCCGGCGCAGGCAAGGCAGACGCAGACACACGCACACCCTCCCGGCTCGCGCACTCGCGCTCGCGCTCGCGCTCGCCCGCTCGCTCTCTCACTCCCTCGTTCGGCCGCTCTCCCTCCCTCTCATACTCTCTCGGTCTCCCTGCAAAGCCTGCAGTCCTTCTCCTCCTCCTCCTCCTCCTCCTCCGCCTCCTCTTTCTCAGGCTCCGCCTCCTTCTAACTTTTCGGTTGCTGCCTTCCGCCCGTGGCTTTTTTTCACCTTCCTCACCTCTCCTGTCTTTCCCTTCACTTCCTCTCCTTTCTCCCCTTCCCGAGTTCTAATTCGGAATTAACTTTGGGGGTCCTTTAAAAAGATGACTGTATGTACAATAGTGTGTTTCTTCGTCTATCTACGGGGAGCTCGATTTGACTCCCTTTGACCCCTTCTCCAAACTGGAGTCGTTCTAAATGAATGATGTCTGGAGAGGAAGCTGAAATTAACCAAAGAGACAGCTTGGCGCAGCACTGGACTGAGTCCTGGGTTCTAGTCCTTTCTCTGCCAGTTACTAGCTAGCTGTATGACCTTGAATGAGTTCCTTTACGTCCTATCAGCCTCGGTTTCCTCATCTATGAAATAAAGAGGGTTGGGCTAAAAGATCTGTAAGGTCGTTCCAGTACTATGATACAATGGTCCTAAATGGGAGAAGGATCGGAAATTTGCGGATATCCCTTGCGGCAGATGTGTGTGTGTGTGTGTGTGTGTGTGTGTGTGATCAGTGCAATGATAGCCCCCAACCATCCTTAAAAAACTATCCCAGGAAAGGATGTTGCATCTGCTAAGGAGGTTCCACTCATTAGCAACGCCGTTTCCATGGCGGGTATACACTTCTTTTGATGAACGGGCAGTCCCAAGTACCTTACACTTGCCTGTTGGGACTTGAAGATAATTCCCTGGCCTGGGTAACAGACAGCTCACCTTCACTGGGACTTGTGGGTTGAGCCGCAGAAGTCCCAGGGTGGTGAACCTCAGAATGGGGGTCTCAGGGGAGCTTTAGCTCCAATCTTTGTAAACACTCAATGGCAGGACAGGTATTTTTCCCTCCAATAAAGTTAAAGCGCTGTTGTGGCCAGCAAATTGCTTCAAAATAGAATAATAGCGCTAATTCTTACAGCTTATACCGTATGAGAGATTCCCACCTCTTAATCACCCTTCAGTGTTACCTAATTAATCCTCTGGATGTGAGTTTTTTGAAGAGCTTCAGTTAAGGATGATTTCCTCTATGATTCTTACAGTCTTTAAAACACAATGTGCTGCTGTCCTTATTAAATAGGAGGCCATTTCTTATCCCACCTTCAGCAGAACATAAACTTGGGAACTGTTTTCCCCTAAAGAAAATAGGTTTACATCGACCCATCCCTACCCGCTTCCCATTTCCTGGGCATTAACTATGGTGCGCAACGTTGGGGTATAATATGTCTCTGACTTGTAGGAGAATAGAAAATATATATGTGTGTATATATACATACATATATACATATACATACATATACATACCTACATACATATACATATATACATACATACACACACACACACATATATATATATGGAGAGAGAGAGAGAGAGAGAGAGAGAGAGAGAGAGAGAGAGAGAGAGACTTAAAAGAAGAGAGCTGGTAATGTTCAGTCCACTTCAGTCACTTGCTAGTTGTGTGACCTTGGGCAAGTCATTTTACCTCAATGAGCCTCAGATTCTTCAACTGTAAAATGAGGATAACACCTGACCTGCCTAGCTTACAGAATTATTCCGTGTCAAATTAGATAATAATGTAAATGAAAGAGCTTAGTAAACCCAAATGCCCAATAAATACTAAATGATACTTGGGAGTGAGAGTGGGGAGAATAACATGAAACTTTAGAGGAAAGGAGCAGAAATTCACAAAGGCAATATTATGATTCACAGATTCCTGAAAATGCTTCAGCATTGCAAAATCTACTATACTCTACACTAAAAATGCTCGGATGGATCTGTGTGAATCTACTTAGATGTTTCCTCCAGCCCTGTAAAAAATCCATGCTGGCCCATACTGTATAGCTTCTTGTTCATGTCCATAAGTTTGCCACAGGGGGTCCACCCAATCCAATGTGTTGGGGCCTTTCCTGGCTTTCTTCTTACAAGGTACAGATACTAGGGGAACACTCCAGCTGTTCACATGTTATCCCTCACTTTCACCACATGGCCAGCCCATTTCCTAACACCAGAAGACCTTTGCATATCACAGGTGCTCAGTGAATGTTTTGTGGATGAATGACAGTTGTTGTTCAGTTGTTTTTTCAGTCATGTCTGACTTTATAACCCAATTTGAGGTTTTCTTGGCAAAGATACTAGAATGGTTTGCCATTTCCTTCTCCAGCTTATTTTACAGATGAGGAACTGAGGCAAACAGGATTAAGTCACTTGCCCAGGGTTACAGGCTATTAAGTACTTGAGGTAGGATTTGAACTCACAAAGGAGTCTTCCAGGCCCAGAACTCTATTCGTTTCACCACCTAGCTTGTTGGGACACTGACTTGTAGGGAAAAAAAGTTAGCATAGAGTGTATACCTAGTTATATTTCTCTTCCCCACCCAAGGTTGTGTTCCTGTTCAAAACCTGAAGTAAATTCACTTTCTCAAACATTCTTAATATTATGTGATTGCTTTATACTTGTCAGCTTTCATTCCTTCTTAACAATCTGGAAAGCTGAGGCTACATTACTCTTTTTTTCTAAAACTTTTGGCCCTTTCAAGGACAGTGTCCTTAATCTCTTCCAGCACTCTATTCCTACTCAATCTCCAAGGCTTTTCTTATACTGTTTATCCTACTTAAAATTCTAGGCTCACATTGTAGATCTAGAACAGAAAGGACCTCAGAGGCCATAGTCTAATGTTCTCATTTTAGAGATGAGGAAACTGGGACCTTGGGAAGGCACAAAGGCAGTAAGTCCCAGAGGCAGGATTTGAACCCAGGTACCCTGACTCCAGAGCTAGTGCTCTTTTCATTGTACAACACCTCTTTTCTTCTATATTTATCCAAATCCTTCTTCATTTATTCTTCATGACCCATTTCAGATCCCACTACTTTGTTTGAGCCTCGTACCAAGCATTTTTGTTTCTGTGAAGCCCTCTCTGATTATTCCAGTCCAGAGTAACCTATTCCTCCTCCGAAGTCTGATGATGCAAAATATCTATACCACTCAAATTAACAGACCAGATTGATTAATTCAACACTTACTGTATCCTGCCTGGTGTTATTAATTATATTTTTATAACTGCATGGCTTGTCTTTCCAATTAAATTCTACGCTTCTTGAAGTAAAGGATTGTTTTATACTTCTGAGTGTTCCCCATGAGGCATATAGTAGGCACTCAATTAATGTTCATTGACTGGTTTATATTGATTTGACAACCATCTATTAAGCATTGGCCCTAGACAAGAAAACTAAATAGTTCCTGCCCTTGATGAGCTCATATTCTCTCAGGGGAAATAACATGTTCACAAGTCTTAGAAATTTCCAGCTTTGAGATGCCAATGCAGATCTAGTACATCTATCTGGGCACACCATCTTTCATGAATAAAGAGGACAGAGTCCCAATGATCTAATGGTATTTTTCCATTTATAACAACTGTGATCTCACTAGAAAAATATATATGAGTGAACAACAAGAAACATTCCCTAAAGAAAGCCCAATGAACAATAAAATAGTGAGCATATTATTTTTAAAACAACTGAAAGTACTATAATAGTTATTAAAGCCTGCTTGAAATGAGAACTCTCTTCCAGGAATATTATATATTGGACTCAGTTCTTTGCAATATTTACTGAGGTTTTTCAGATGATAAGTTTGGAATCATAATAAGACTCATATGGGGATAGAATACACTTCCACAATTTTCAGCTTTAACAGTATGAAAAATAATTGGTCACAGGTGTAGAGTGATTGAATTATTCCAGATTGACAGGCACATTAATGAATTTCTCAGGTCTTCCCAAATAAGTGGCAACTGCCACTTGCCCAGGAAGACTAGTGATTTATGTTGGGTCAGGGGATGAGAATACTGATTTCATTCATTCTACTATCATGTGTACCTTTGGGGACAAGGTTAGCCTGGGAAAATCTTTGGATGGGTTGGCCATTTGGGGGTACTTGCTTCCAAGGTTACCTAATTAAATGCTGAGCTTTATGGAAGAGAGTACTCTAGGTGGTCACCTATGTGGTATGACTGTAAGGGTTCTGAAAGGTCCCTCCTATCCCCAAATACTCTGCCAATGGTCTGATATGCGTTTATCCTCTCACTTAACAAAAGATAGCTAGATAATGAAGTAGGCAATTCACTGGGCCTGGATTCAGGGAGACTGGTGTTCAAATCCAACCTCATGTAATCAATGTAATCATTTCTCCACAATTTTCTCAGTAGTATTTAGAAATAATTTAGAACAATGGCTAGCACAGAGTAGATGCTTTTTAAAGGAGGTCCTTGTTTTCTTCCTTTCTAGGAAATCCCATCTTTAGTTTTTAAGAAGTTCCTCCCTATGGTGAGCCAAAATATGATTCCTTGTTTCTTGAACTTATTGGTCTCAGTTCTTCCATCTTGATTCCTCTAAGACCAAGCAGAATAA